TAAAGTATACATTAGTATGCAGTTTAGTTAGTATGTGCTAAGTATACATTAGAATGCAGTAAGTAGTATGACATAAAGTATACATTAGTATGCAGTTTAGTTAGTATGTGCTAAGTATACATTAGTATGCAGTAAGTAGTATGACAAAGTATACATTAGTATGCAGTTTAGTTAGTATGTGCTAAGTATACAGTAGAATGCAGTAAGTAGTAGGACATAACGTATACATTAGTATGCAGTTTAGTTAGTATGTGCTAAGTATAAAATAGTATGCAGTGAGTAGTATGTCATAACAGTATACATTATGCAGCCCAGTACTTGTACTGTGGTATGTGCTGCAGTATTTACAGTTTAACTTCCCCAGCAACATGTAAGCTTGTTTAGTAGTGTACTAAATAAGCTGAAACCTGTCAGCAGTGTGGAGACCTGTGTGGTCTCTGGCTGCTGTGTCCGTGCGTTTTACTGCCAGCCCCCCCACCTCTATGGACCATCCGGCGTGTGGCAGATGGTGAGGGGACCGGAGTATGCAAGACTCACGATTTTTGTGCCCCCGAGCGTGTGGGAAAACAGCAGCTGTTTGCCGAACTGAAACACACAGACCGCGAACCGGAAGTGATCGTAACCCGGAAGTCCGAAACCGGAAGTGATGCCTGCCGAAGTCAAAACTACACGGTGATGCAGAGAAAGGGGGGTGAGTTTAAATAGGATCACCACGCCCCTCCCACAACTCCAGGCAAGCCTTTACATATGTTTATTTCCATATTACTACTTGCTTATATTTAATTTTATATATTATCTTTGTGGTGCCACCTTTTCCTCCTTAGTGTAAGTACATGTTTTATGCTGCATTCTAGTGAAACGTACCAAGCTCCCTCTTACTCATGCTCAGCATGGACCGTAGTACCAACCTTCCTCTATCACAGATGCCATGTACTCATAAATTGGTGTGTAGTAATGGGACTTGCTTTATCACAGTGGTTACACACTCCTCAAATTGGTATTTTTTACAGAATTTCTTCTATCACAGAGGTCACGAATGCATCAAATTATTATTAGTCACAGACCTTCCGCTATCGCATAGGTTACACGATCATCAAACTGATATTTGGTTACTGAGCTTCCTCTAATTACAGATGTCACGCGCTCTTCAAATTGGCATTTATTAATGACCATCCTCTACCACAGAGGTCACATTCATCAAATTGGTATTCACTATTGAGCTTCTTCTTCTATAGCAGAGATCAATAGCTCATCAAATTGGTATTCAAGCTTCTGCTCATCGCAGAGGTCACACATTTATAAAAATTGGTATTTAAAACTGAGCTTCCTCTATCGCAGAGGTCATATGCTCATCAAATTGGTTTTCATTACTGTGCTTCTCCTATCGCACAGGTAAAAAAAAAACTCATCAACTTATTATTAGTTACAGATCTTTCTCTTTTGCAGAGGTTACACTCTCATTAAACTGAGCTTCTAATTACAGAGGTCAGACACTGAGCATCCTCTGTCTCAGAGAACACAATCATTAAACCGGTATTCATTTCTGAGCGTCTTCTCCACACCGGTCAGTCATCAAATTGGTAATTTGATACTGAGCTTCCTCTGTCATGGAGGTCACTCGCTCATCAAAATTGGTATTTTGTTCCTGAGCATCCTCTATTATAGAGGTCATGCACTCATCAAATTAGTATTCATTACTGAGATCCCTATTTCGCTGAGGTCACACACTCATCATAATTTATATTTTGTTACTGAGCATCCTGTGATAACAGAGGTCACATGCTCATCAAATTAGAATTTTATAACATGACAGGAGGCTTCGTATTTGCTTTAGTCTCTCTTTACTAGAACTCCACAGCAGCACAGAAAAACAACCAATCAGAAAAAAGTTAGGTACTATAAAACCCCCTTCCCATTGCATCATTTCCTCTTTCTTTGCTGCTCCGCAGTCAGTACAGGTCAGAGTACCACTGCCTCCTGTTTATAGTGGGTGGCTTTGGGATTTAGTGTGATTTATTTATGATTGTTATTAATTATGCTTGCTTGTGAGATTTATGTGCCTTTCTGGCTCTTTTCTTTTCTTTTGGGAATGTTTCCTTTACATTACTGATAGTTTTTCCATGTGTTTATTTACACAGATTACTGGTAGTTTTGCCATGTGTTTATTTATACAGATTACTGGTAGTTTTGCCATGTGTTTATTTACTCAGATTACTGATAGGTTTTCCATGTGTTTATTTGTACAGATTACTGGTAGTTTTGCCATGTGTTTATACATACAGATTACTGGTAGTTTTGCCATGTGTTTTATTTATACTGTTCTAGATAATTTACTGCAAACCAATTAGTTTGAATGACTATCTGTTCCTGTCCAAATTAATGATAATAAAGTTGCGTGCACGCAGAAGTAAATTCACACTGAGACACAAGGTTCAGGGTAATGAAAGAACTTCAGAGAAGTTTAATGGCTTCTGACAGAAAATGGGTGCGCAGACCCTTATAAAGGCATTATTACATCATTGAAGAAAATCAAGATATAGACAAATAGACATTGTTAATTGGCTTAGGTGCTAAGATGTTAGTAAAATGCCCTCCCCATTCTTAGGTCACTATCTACGTAATTTCTTAACTCCTACAGGTTTTAGCGCCATTTTGTTAAAATGAGGAGCTCACTCGACGGGAGGGGCCTTTTGGCAGCTATCCATTTGGAGCGTAGCTGGCACTTGTTAGTTTCTCAAGGTTAAGTTTCAAGGATTTTAGTAAATACACATTTTATCAAAGCTATTTCTTGCTGACATGCAAATTCTATGTTCTATAGACAAAGCTTCCTTGTAAAACTATGGGGGCCTCTTAGAGGTATAGCAAGAGGATTTAAAGGGGCCTTACAAATTTATAGAGGCCTAATAATTCTACAACAGTCCCCCCTAAAATGTTATTTGCTAAAAGACAAAACTTTATTTGTTAGTATCAGAAGAAGTATTAGCCCAAAGACACAGAAACCCCATGACCGCTGACTTAGTGTTAATGCAAAGTGCAAGTCTATCCCTCTCTTGACCCTAACAGGCTGCAGCACATCCGTCAGTACGGTTCAGGAACACTCTTCACTCCGCTGGTAACCCATAGTGGCTTATCCACTACTTCTCCGTACGGCAGTCTACCCATAAAGACGGACGCTGTCCCTGTACTGTCCCTTCCTAGACTTTCTGCACTTCATCAGTATAAGGGAGAGTTTGTAGCGGAATACAGGGTGAGATGAGGTCTTGATCATCGATTGTCAGATGAGTGAAGGTTGGTGTTGCTTGGTCTACAGTTTTCTGCAGGAATTTCCTTAGGCATGGGAGGACACAACAAATGAGAAGAGCGAGAATAAAAAGAAAAATTAGTAAGGCAATACCAATCTGGACTAAAGCTCTCTGCCAACCAGTCATCCAACCAAACCATTTTTCCCAGGGATCAGTAACTCCAGAGTTTCTCTTTAACTCTTCTGAGAGTCTATTTAATTTAGCTATGGCCAGAGTGACTTTACCATTAGGACCTGTGTTTTCTGGAATGTAAGTGCAACAAGTCATAGTGTCGGGAAGTATTTTACAGACCCCCCTTTTTCGGCTAAGATCATGTCTAAGGCCAGTCTGTTCTGGAAGGTCATTTGGGATGTGGCCTGTAATTGCTCGGCCAAGCCCTGGAGGGCATCCCTGGTGTAGTTCACGAAGCGCTGTTGGTTGTAATAGATATAATTAATCCAATTAAGGTTTTTGTTGGCAGTGACTATGGTAAAAAGTGATTCAAAACCTACAGCTACTTCATCTCTAGCTTTAAATTCATTAGGTACCCCCCTAGGCACCCCAATGGCATCTATGTAAATGTGGGGGTCAAAACTGCCTTTTACTGGGGTTTCGCGCCTTACTCTGGCTGATGTATGTGGAGGGTCGTATGTGTCATGATGATTATCAGAAATAATATGAATGGGCATGATAACTTTGGCCAGGGTACACTCACCCCACCACTCAGTTTCCAGCCTAGATCTTAACTGTAGATCCCCACATAACCAGTAAATATCCCCCAATGACCTGGTATGGTGTTGCAACAGGCGTATAGGAACAGTTCTGTAAGTGGCGCAATAACCTTTAGAAAAGTTACCCATGAATTTACCAATCCCGTCATACACGGCATAACAAGTGTAATTACCTCTATAGACTGTGATTCCATCTGGTGGCTTAACATTTTCAACTAAGAGAGGGTATTCTGCCGTCCATGCCATGCAGAGGGACCTATTAAAGTCATATTGGTAGGCAAAAAGGCTTAAGAAGCAATCTTCTATCTCTAAAGGGAGAATTAGGGGGACGGTGCCAAGGTGGGGTCGGGCACCGCCACATACATAACATGCTGTTTTATTATGTTTGTTGGCATTATACCTCATCCATTCTAACCACAAATTAATGTCATTGAATCCAGTTTCAGCGGCCATGGTATCTTCAAAAGTGGGGTTAGCGATGGCCATCATATCTTTAAAGGACTGGATATGTGGTTTTAGCGGATTTGGGACCATATGATCAGCCCCTTGCCACTCTGGAGAGTGGTACATATCTCTGAGGTAGAAATGACCTAATTTGTTGTAGGAACCTTTCTTCCAATACATTCCCATTACATATCGGTCTGCATCCTCGGGGCCAGGATGTTCAATATTTAACATTAATTTCATAGGGGTACTTCCTCCAGGCTTTCTTAAAGTCATTCTTTGAAGGAGGGATCTACCCTGATTGTCTATCTTAGATAAAGCACTTTTGGGTTTATAACCCCAGGCAGGCCCAGTATTCCATCCCGCAGCCCCCCAGTAGTTACAGTCATAACCCCATTGTTCATCTACTACACAAACGTAAGGGTCTTTTGCTTGTGGTATATCTTTATAAATGGCTTGAATCTGTGACTTAGGGAATGGGCACTCTACAATATCACAGTAATCAAAAGTGAATGTAGCCACATGGGTACATGATGAATTATACCAGAAAGTGTACCCACTAGCATCTTTGGTGATGGCCACCTGCTGGGCTTTAAGGAGGCCAACTAAGGAGATAATGTACCAGAGGCACATGGTTGCATAGAGTTAGCTTCCTCTGGGGCAGGTGTCTTCTTGAAGTGGGAAGCGTGGATCCAGTTAGGCCTTCCGGCCAATTTGACAGAGGTAGGGGAGATCAGGAGAACTTGGAACGGACATTTACTGTTTTCGCACAAATTTCTTGACCAGAACCCAGTCACCGGGGAGCAGACTGTGGTTGCCTGTGTCAGAATCAGGATCTGGAATTGAAGAGAAAACTTGGGCATGGATTTTGTTCAAAGCATTTGCGAGTTCAGTTACATAATCTACAAAAACATCAGTTTGAAGTTGTAGTTGTTGGGGAAAATAGCAACCTAGCCTAGGTGCAGTCCCAAATAGAATCTCATATGGGGACAGTGAGGTAGTATTTTTGTACAAGAGCATTCATTAGATCCTTTGATAAATGTGCAGGTCCGTGTGCCCATTGTACGACTGCTGGGTACAAATTCTTAGGGAGGCAGAAATTGAGGTTGTTGGAGTACACTCCATCCTTCAGAACTGCCCCTTTCTGTTTCCACTTCTGTATTTCTTCAGGGGCAACTGTAGCCTGTTGTTCCCGCAGGATTTTCAGGTCAGTTGGAAGAGTCTGCAGAGTAAATATGGGAGTTTCTTCATTTCCGGACACTCTTCTTCCCACTTCCTGTGGTTTTCTTGCAGCTTGTTTTGCAGCCTGATCAGCTAGATGGTTGCCCTTTGCTTCATCTGAGTCCAACTTCCCATGTGCCTTTACCTTCAGAATGGCCACTTCTTCTGGGAGTAGGAGGGCGTCCATCAGCTCCTTGATTGCGGAACCGTGCTTGATTGGTGTACCGGCGGTAGTAAGAAATCCTCTTGTTTTCCAAATTAATCCGAAGTCGTGAGCCACGCCCAGTGCATATCTTGAATCCGTGTAGATATTGGCGCGCTTTCCTTCAGAGATCTTGCATGCTGAAGTCAGGGCTTGCAATTCAGCTTCTTGTGCAGACATAGTTGATGGTAAAGATGATGATTTGACAATTTCATCTGTTGTGGTTACGGCATATCCTGTATGGTATCTTCCTTCTTCATCAGCATATCTTGAGCCGTCCACAAACAGGGTGAGATCGGGATCTACCAATGGGTCTTCATGCACAGTTGGTAGATGTGTTGTTTCCATTTTCATCTGTTCAAAACAGTCATGAGGTGTATCTGGGTCGTATTCATTCACTATGGTTAAATCTTGGAACTCATTCTCCAGGAAATGACGTGGCCATGCTTTTAGGTGGTCAGTTGTTGGATATTTGACAACACCATTTTCCTGTAGCTGTGATTCGTCCATAGTGGCCCATGCTTTTGCCATAGGCCCAAGATCATTCCATGATATTGTTTTCAACTTGGTCACAGGGACATGTGGAATGGCAGTGTCCCAATGGCGGTACAAATGCTTGAGTTCCGGAGGTAGATGAATCAAGACCATACTGTTGCCTTCAGAATCACAGTAGAAGTCTTGTGCAGTGAGTTTTACTTCGACCAGATGATAGAGTTCATCTTCATAGCAGGTTTCAGGAGTGATGTTTGATTTGTACCACATGGTACAGAAGGCATATCCTGCTCCGTCATGAAGGAGAGCTTGTCCATCATGAAAGGATAGGTTGGGATGCATTTCCTTCTTGATGGTGCCAGTGAGAAGAAAAACATAAGTTTCGTCCATGATGAATCCGTAGTATACACCCCCCTCAGGGAGTGGCAGAAGAGTGGACGGATTGAGAACTTGACATCTTTGGAGGGTAATGTTGTCAGGCAACAAAAGATGACATTGAAGGCGAAGATGCCTAGCAGGAGTAACATGCTTAAGTTGGACCTGGTTGACTATGGCAGAAATGTCATGGGGGCCAAGACAACCAGGGGGTGGCCAAGGACAAGATCTCCAGTTCTTTCAATGAGCTCTCTGGCAGCAAAGACGGCCCGAAGGCAAGAGGGACGTCCTCTGGCCACAATATCCAGTTGGCAGGAGAAAAATCCAATAGGCCTTTGGCGGCCTCCAGGACCATGGGCCTGAGTGAGTACTCCTGTTGCATGGCCTTGTCTTTCAGAAACAAACAATTTGAAGGGTTTGGTATAGTCTGGTAGGCCAAGAGCAGGAGCAGAAGCAATAGCACGTTTGAGAGAACAGAAGTTGTCAAGGGCTTCTGTGGACAAGCAAAATGGGTCTGACTTGAGAGCATCATAAAGAGGTTGCATAAGGAGTGAGGCTTCTGGGATCCATGCTCGGCAATAGGAAATGAGGCCTAGGAAGGCGTGTAGTGACTTTGAGGTCCTGTCCAGTACTGCTCTAACTCGGTCACGAGTGAGATGTCTGGTTCCCTGAGACAGACAATGGCCAAGGAAGATAACAGTAGGTTGGCAGAATTGCAGCTTGAGACGTGAAGCTTCACATCCTTGTTCTGCTAGATAGTAAAGAAGATGAATTGAGCATTGTTCTGTTGTGGGTAGATCATCTCCACAGTAAAATGGGAAGGGAACAAAGAACTGTAGTGTCTTTTCGTGACAAAGGTGTATTTAATTGAACCTGGCCGTCTGCAGTGAGGGTGATGGATGCTTGGAGGCGGGATAGGACATCAGCACCAACACAAGAGACATCGGTGTCAGGCAGGAACGATGAGTCAGGCAGGTCTTGTTCTCTAGGAACACTGCGGGATGCACCTGTGTTAACCAGGAAACCAGGAAAGCAGTAGGGTGACCTTCAATAGGTAAAGTTACAGTGGCTAGTGGCCCCCCTTGTTCCCTGTAGACACTGCCATGGCAGGGGCATTAAGCATCAGCGGGTTTGCTCTCCTCTGTATGGGCTGTGTTACTGACTCAAACCCCTTTCTATGTCATTAGCCATAGCTTTTTGCAGTCTGAACATGTCTATCATTATAAATAATGGTTAATAGTAAGTTAAGTAAAGTTCCTAAATGTCTTTGGATAAAACATTAACTATTGCGGTACTATCATTTATATTAATTAGACTATAACAATTATACCACCCTGTAACTAAAATGAATAACCAGTAGTGGCTGGGTTAATAAAACATGTCACTAATCCTTCTAATGCTAAACCATCATTTAAAGTAAAGGATGTTACTGTAAACATAAGATCTGTAACTAGCAAGATTCGATTAAGTAAAGATACAATGTTTAAAATAACTTGCATTATTTGGCTATTTCCCTTGTTGCAAGATGAAGCTGGATAATCAGCTGTTATGCTCTTATATTCGTGTCCAACAGATTTCATATGTAGGTCACACCACATTTGCAAATTACATTTTAGCAACCTTCTTTTTTTTTATATCACGGACAAATTGTTGATACAGGGAAACAAATGGCATGATTGTTTTAGTAATTATCTAAATGGGACGAGCATAATAGGGGTAGGCCTCATGATGGAGGCAGCCATGACAGGGGCGGGGAAGGAAATGACAGCAAGGGAGGAAGTGAGAGGGGTGACGTCCATGATATGTGTGGGAAAGGACGATGATATGTGGGCATGGTAAGGGCGGAAGTGACGTTACTTTAGAAGCAACCGTGACTGTGGATAGGTCACGGGACTGGCAGGCGCCATCTTTAGGGTGGTGGTTGATGTACTTTCAACCATACACTATATTAAAACTATTAAAATAAGTCAGAGAAGCAACATTCTGTTCTGCAAAATGGAATACTAAACTATGAACAGACCTGGCAGGTTAAATAAGACAGTTGAAAACATTATGCATTTAACAGCCCATACAGCTGTTTCTAGAAACATGTACTTTAAAATAACTTTAAAATAATAAAATGATGCAAAATAAACTCACGGAATTCAACCAAATTCCCTTATCTTCCTCAAACCATTAATCACTTTCCTCCTCTTATACTGACTTAACAACATCGCATATTCCCTCTACACCTTCCTAAATCCCGTATTCAACACTGAAT